CATCCTCTCTTTCAGAACTTGCCTATAGTTCTCTCTTATGTTTAATACAATATTATGTATTACCAAGGTTTTTATCTATCAAATGATATATTATATTACATTGGTATATGTAAAGAGAATTTGTTCCAACAGGAAACATACAGACTGGCTTGAATGAATTTGTAACGGCTCTTGTTGCATAGTTAGAAAACCAGAAAAATTGTGATAGTTATTGGACATTGTTTGCTTTTTGCATATTATTATCCTATAATCTTTGGTGCATTATTTAATTAAATAAAATTATTTAGTGCACTAATACCTCTAATATGAAAAAAGTAGGCTTAAGTGTCATCGACAGTAAAAAAAAAGGCTAGGTAAGTACTTGATTTCTTGTTTCTCATGTGTATTCTATATCTATCATTATAAAAGTAACTAATAAGTACAAATTGGTCATGATGTCGGTCAATTCGATCAAGCCCGTGTACAGAGAGTTAAACATTGGGTTCATTTATAAACTACATTCAAGTAATCGATTATTCAAAAAGTGATTACGATAGTTAGAATAATCTAATATATTAACACTGAATTCACTAGCCAGGCCAGGAAGTTTTTGTTAATTTTTAATAGGCTGTGAATGAAGCTTTTTTTTAAATTTTATTTTAGTGGCTAAGGTTTTTCCATACATTTTTCTATTAGTCTGAAATGTTCAAAACTTTATTCAATTTGTAGTGGCTGAATATGGTAGGAGAGAATTGAAAATTGTTTTCATCATGGATATGCTAAAGATAACATGCAAGTGTAAAGGCCTCATAGTGGTAAATGTTATGCATGTAGCCATTGCGGATGTGCCTATGATGGTTATGATCCATCATTGAAGATGTCCTGTAAGCATGATGGCCAACCTCATGCATTTCAAAAATAGTCAAGGAATGTTATGTCCACTACTCAGTGGCTGTAGTAACACCTGTCAAATTGCTATGTTCTTGATAAATATTGCTTCTTGTCCAGTAGGAGTCATTTTTTTTACATGAAGGTTTGCATTTCTTAATGATGGTTTCCTTCTTGTCATCATCATTTACATACAAATTGGAAATATTTTTCCTTTTTCTCTCTGTTTCACATGATACGGTAGGCTTAACTTTTTGAATTGCATGAGGTTGGCCATCAGACCATAAAGAAACGAACTGGTGCGATTTTGATAATCAAGAGAATGGAAGATGGTATGTTTTGTAGAACAAGCATTTTGTGCTGTGCAAGATAACTTTTCTCAAGGATAGTGATGTCATTGCTTTAGCCACATCCAAAACAATAACTAATGGCATTACAGATGACACCTCAACTAGAATGAATGCATTAGCAATACAACAACAATTGCCAGACAGAAGTATTTAAAGGGATGTAGTCATGGCAGTGTTATGCAAGTTGTTACCAACCAGAGAAATCAAACGACTGACCAATGTATGGGATGAGTTTATTGCAATGTCAAGATGACACTTTGAAAATATATCATCCGTTAGGCCTTTCACTCCTACAACGGCTAACTTTATGTTTAACTTTTATTTGAATGGTCTTCTCTTTTGTGTATATTTACTTTTTCTCTCTTGCCGCTCATCTAGTTGCAGCTGTTTATACGTCTATCATTTAAGCCTTCTATAAATCTCTATAGCCTCGCTATCAATGGATTGCACACAATGTTCAATAGCCTCAACATCAATGAATTACAAACACAAAATAACTCAATTAATAATACTGCTTACACTAAACAGTCTTTTATATCTGATAGTTATTGTAAAGGATAATTCTGTAAGCATAATCTGCCCCCCTTTTTCACTTTTGTATCTGAATCTGTCAGAGTTTTTGGCAGTTTGTGAAAGGTCATTGCATTCACATGATCATTCCTGTTGGGACAAATTCAACGTATCCTTTGTATATCGTTTTAAAGATTGATTGTTGAACAAATGGAGGAAAAGTTTCTTCTATGCCATCCACAAATGTTTTTGTTCCCAAAGAGAGCATATGACTTTTTATTGGATGAAATGTACTTCACTGCCTTCGATACATTCTCTTTCTTCAATCTAGTAACATATCTGATTGTTGGACCTAATTATTTTCCTCTTAATATATGATTAATTATCAATTACCATACACCTGAATGAAATGACATGTTACCCTAATATTTTACTATTATGCCCTATCATTCCATAAAAAAATCCCCTACTTTTTTATTTAACTTGAAGGAAAAATGAGATTAAATTTAGAAATAAGTTAAAGAAAAAAGTACATCTTGCTGTGATATATTGCTTTTCATGCAGAGAAGGTTCAAAAATTCAGTAATAAAGCAAAATTAGTAGAAAGCAAGTGTCAAATGGTTAGAAACTGAGGCTGTTAGAATAAATAATTACAATGTGTGTTATAATCTGCAATCATTTTAGAAAAAAAAGGCTATTATTCATTTTGTTTCATATATTTAAACCTTATTTCACTGTACATTGATGGTTTTGCTACAGTTAGTGTTAAGGTAGAGAAAATAATGGAAAATGTAAAGTTTCACGAAAAACTGATGCTTGTTTAGGAGGTTCTAGAAGTTATACAAAGGAAATATGGAACTGTAAGATGAAAGCAGCATTTTTATTCTTAACTGGAAAATTGCTTTGCACTTAGATTGACTTGGTAAAGGCTTTTGGAAATTCACAGCCAAATTTTTAGTGGAAGTGCTTTACCAAATATTCTGATTTTTTGTGTGTGCAACTGACTTGTAAAGTTAATAAAAGCTTGCCAAATTTCATGAAGATGCGTGTAATAAATTGAGAATTATAGTAAGATTTATGATATATAACTTTGCAGATACAAGTGCATATTATGTTAATTCATGCCTAAACATTTGGTGTAGGGATCAGAAATACAGTTAATTCTGAATTGTGTATGTGATCATAATTTGTGTAATTGTGACATAAATCTATATATAGCATATGTACTTTGGTGACTATATGATAATGTGGCTCAATTCTTGGATGGTTATGTGAGTATCTTTACATCATGTGTATAGACTGTACTGTGTGTTGTTTCACAGGTGTTTCTGAGTGCTGTTGTTGATTATTCTTACTCCCAACAATCTAGTGATGCTGTTGAGCTCAGTTATTGACAAGGCTACCCACACTTACCAGTAGTTTGATGTAATAGCCTGACATTCTCTTAGGCCATTGTTCACAAGCTGATGCTACTTTCTCTTCCACAGAAGTTTTATACACCTCATTGCATCCTCTGCTCTCCTCCCCCATTATGCTGTAGAGCTAATCTGGGCTAAAGATAGAAGAAACTTGTTTTTTCTTTTTATGATCAGTATCATGGGAAATGAAGAGGTTAACTTTGTTTCACCTCAACCATTCCAGAAGTAATCTGTGTTGTTTCACTATTACTTAAGTCTGAGAGAAAAAAAACAAATTTTTAATATTATTTAGTATCATGTATGGGGAAAAGAGAGGTCAGTTTTATTCTGCACTTTGACCATTGCCATATGTAGTTTTGGAAAGTGAAGTAGTGAATTTTGTTTCTCAAGTTTTAACATCACATTATATAGAAAGACTAGTTTTCCTGTCTACTTCACAAAAATGAAGATTTCCTCCCATTATTTATAGAAAGGTTTATTTATGTTAAACTAATACTTTTTATTTCCTTTCTTGTTGCAGGAGAGACAAACTGTGGATTTGTATGGAATTTTGTGGTGGAGGTTCTCTGCAAGATATTTACCATAGTGAGTTTATTCACATTTATAACAAAAATCCATTTTTAAATTGTGTGTATTTTTGTATTTATAGTGTGTGTTGTGTCATGTGTAATCCATAAAATCAGAAATCAGGTAGCATAGTGTACACTGGGGTGTAAACGTATTTAATTAAGAAAAAATGCCATGGTTTCGTGGACAGAAAGTACAAGAAGTCCCTTTTCATTATTTATAAGAAGCCTTGGGTTAACAGGTCAGAAGGTTGCCACTTTAAATGGTGGATTTCTGAATGTGGATATGAACATTTTAATACCCTCAGTGTGTGTGTGTGTGTAAGTGGTTATAACTGTATTTACAGTTTACCTCTACATTTTTATTAAATGTGAATGTTCACACAACTAATCTTTTTGTTTTTAAATTGATATTTCTTCATCATGTTTATATTTTTGTCCTGTGTTTATTATTGTTGCCTTTGTAATGGTATTAACATGGTTGCATGTTTCACAGTATTAGGAACGTATTATTATTATTTTGAATTATATCAGCTGTTTGTTGTTGTAAGACTGGGCTTGTGTTTAGTAGGGTGTCTTCCTTTTGATCAAGCCATAAGGTGTAACATTTAGGAAATGATTTTCACTGGATACTAGCTGTTTCTATTAATTATAGATAAAATTATATAGTTAAGATCTATCATACACTTCTGTTATGTATCCAATGATTTTGGGGAAAAAATATTAAAATCTGTGGAGTCTTTGTAATTTTATTTGTCAAATATTTTTACATAAACACCTCACAATTTTAATAATGTACTTAGTTATCAGTTTATGTTGCAATCGTAATATTGAATAAAAACATTGTTTCCTCCAGTAACCTAGTGAGCTGTGATAATAACTTAAGTTTTCCAATAAACAATGCTTTTTACTCCAAGTTTTATAAGCAGATTTTACCTAAACTGATTCTAATATTTGGTGGATAACATAAATTGAACAATTCTTTAATTCGGAGCATTTGACCACCTTAGCAAACTGAATATGTTTACGTGTTCCAAAAACAGAGTAGAGGAATGAAACATGCATGTTTAAAGAGAAATCCATTTATTTTAATGGTGTACAGAAATTGATTTCATGCAATAAGCTATAATTCATTTTACATACATGTACACAAACTCAAATCTATAGATCCTAATCATAGTTATTTATTTTCAAACCACTGACACTTTTCACTGGAAGGGGTCTTTTGAAACATTTTGTCACTGTTTTCAATTCTTTCATGGAACACCTTCATACATGTTGTAATTCCTGATGGTTATCATTAGTGCTCTTAAGTGTTCAAGACCAGTTTTTTTTTCTTTTCCTGTCCAGGTGTTATTCAATAAGAAAATAATTTCTAGACAGGACCATTAGATCCTAGGAGATTGAGCACAAATTGCTTTATAGAAGTCCATTCAGTCCATGAAGTGCTGAAACAATTATTCTCCTCTTGCTGCCATTTACCTTGTTTTTGTCTCAGTCCATGATCACCCTCTCCTTGGCGAATTTTCAGTACAAGTTACCTCATCAAATTATTTGTGAGGAAATAATTATCAAGCATGTCCTCTGATTTTATCTGATATAAAAGACTTAAGAGCTTCAAACATGTTCAGCTTTCTCTATAGTTGAAAGCAGTGCAAATTGGCATATTTTAAAGCACCCAAATGTTTATTTATTTTTTTCTCTCTTTTTTAAAATTCTGTAATTGTAACACTTCTGAACAAAGCTTTGTTAACATGTCGAAGAGTATATAACCTGTAAATTGACTAATTTTAAAAATTAATACATAAGTTTGAGATCTGATGTATAACTGATAAGCAGGTGTGACATAATGAGATGCTGTAATCTGTGTTTGCAGTTTTATTTATTATTATTATTATCATTATTAAAACATCTTACTAAAAAATTAACTGATTTAGAATTAGGCTTAACCAAATTCTGTTAAGAAGGCTGAACCTTATGAGGTTTTCTGAAGTTTGTGACTGAAAACACTGAGTAGTGAGGGCTTCTATCTGAAGAATAAATAGTTTTAATCATATAATTTTATATTTTATGAACTTTCAAACTTGCATTTATATCTGCAGTGTTTCTTTTAAAAATCTTAATTAGGTTTTAGTTTAAACGTTTTTTATTAGGTAATTGTAAAAATTAATTTTAAATTATAATTTACATAAAGGAATAATTAAAGTGGGTAAATTAATTTTATGGCTATTACTAACGTTACTGAAACTTATCTAAAACGTATTATATTTATCTAAACTTAGTTTAAAATGTATATTTTTTAAGTACTTTAAATATTATCAAATTATTTATATGTATATAAGTATATTTATACATCAGTGTATTTTTATTCTTAGATCAGTGTGTTACATTAGAATTAATTACAGTCAATAAACTAACTTATTACTTTCAGATGTATGACTCACTGTAGGTGTAGATATTGTTGTACATATTGTTAAGTTGTTAGCTGCCACTTTCATCCAAGTATTAGTGGTCCTTTCCTACTAATATGGGTTCATAATTTTGTCTAAATCTTTGTTGTTCTTTTTGCACCATATCACCAAAATTGACAATTAAACTGTTTGCCACAAAACTGATAAGTTTGTCATAGAAACTGTAGATGTTGAACATTTGGTGATATTGATTGCTGTTTTTCTATGGATGTTATACAAGTTGAAAGTTCTACCAAAATTTGCTTTTGAAGTGTGAAATAATGAGGCATGTATTTTAGCAATTTTACTTCTTTTTGGTTCAGTGCAACAGTAAAGGGAAGAACCATCTATAGATCATGAGACATTTCTTCCAATTACATGAAATGAGTGGCCCAAACTTCACAAATATATTGATATTTTTTAAGTGCAGTCCATTGAATGGAAACTGTTGTTACAGTTGATTTCATTAGTATGATAAGAAGAGTTAAATATGAATATATTGTATGCCACAAAGTGGCATGTCCTTCCAGAGTCAAGTATAGATGTACTGTTCTCCATGTAACGTATCTTACCAAATATGAATATTGTTTTCTTGTCATTTTTAGTCTCGTTAATAATGTACCTTTGTATTTCTGTGATCAGCAATAGAAGTAACGTGTACTTTTATATATGGTAGAGCTTAGCAATTAACTTGATTAATTGATATAATCAATTACATATGACCATTGATTACACCAGTTATTATCACAAAATAACTGATTAATCAAAATTATGATTAATTAGTGTTCCACATTATTCCTGTTTTCAGTTATTCTAACTATCCCAGTAATCAAATTATTGCCATTATGATTTCTCATTATTATTTATAATTAATTCATGATTGTTCAGCTTAATCAGTTAACACCGAGTTCACGAGTCAGGCCCAGAAACATAGTACCACTCTGTTAGGATTTTTTTTTTAGCACGAATGTGTAACTATGTTCTACATGCTAAAAATAGCATAAATCGATGCTTTTATGAAACAGGAGTTCAAAGATACTTTAAAAAGAAAAATATTTTTTCCGGGAAGTTATGGGCTTTTGGAATTCATGAGCCTTATACTTAGAAATTGTATGTTAAATGAATAGAATCACTTGTGCAGTAATGGTAATGGAAGATATCTTGGATTTGATCTGACTGTCGGTAGGATATGGAGCACAGTTTTCTACTTGGGATACATCATCATGCCAAGGATATCACTCCTTGAAGAATTGTAGTACATTTGCAGGTGTAATATTGCCATTGTGCTCATAAAAAAATGTCAACAATATGTTGAAGATGCAGTTGTTGAATGCTCTTGGTATGTGTCCTGATAGATTCATCAATACGTTGTTTCCTGAGAAAAGTAGATATAACCTGTCATATCTTATTTTTGGCTGAATGTCAATATGCTGAGGATGTTTATTGACCAAGTATTCATTAATTTTTCCAAAACTCATCTTTTTTGGCATCGTCGTTACTCCTTGAAACATTTTGGTAACTTCTTCTTTGAAAGGATCAATATACTTTGAAACATAACAGCATACATCTGCCAGTCATAAGACCCGACCTTGAGGAAATGTTTCTTCGCTACTGATGGAATTAATTTCTTTGGGTAAAATGGTTTCAGAAGGTGGGATACTTCCTTGAATAAAAGTAATCTTTCCATTATCAATAAGATTCTTTGCAATGACCAATGCTTAATATGTGATATCATGTTGGACAACAAAAGGTTTGCAAATGTTTTGTTTCAACATCTTTTGGATTTGAAAAGGCACGATTACATGTGGAATTGTCTTCCATGTATTTTTCAGGTATATTAAGTGCAAGTATTGGTAAGTGATGATTGTAATTTCTTGTATATCATATGAGAAGTTTTCATTTGACTAACAAAAACTACCATTGCAGTTAAATTGCCAGTTATCGTTTCAGCACCTTCTATGTTCGCATTGTTAGCATCGTCACAATCCAGTAAAGTATTGGATTCGGAATCACTAACATCAGATGCATCATCTGTGATGACTGATGATTCATTCAAATTAATTTCATGAAAGTTAGGAGTATTTGCAAGCAGTTGGTTTTGTAGATAGTCATATTTGAAGTTAATTGAATTTCATAATAAAGTTGCACATGCACCTGCTCCAAATAGTAATTAAATGTCACTTCCTTGTATCGAGGTTCTTTTTGTGGCAGTTATGTTTGGTTCAGTACAGTTAACTCGGCTACACTATTATTCATTCCATATGTTCGCAAACCATCGACAACATTTTTTTTTTGTAATGTTATCCTTTCCTGTATTGCAATACAGGAATAAAAATGCAATCGCTTTTGCAAAATATCCATCAATTGGATCTTTTGCATCTTGAGTCTCAGTGTGGATAAATATTTTGATTGATAGTCCTACCTTTTTTGCAATGAGAAACTTTCCCTTCAGTAGCCAGCCATTCTGGTAGCTTTGAATGATTACTGCCTTTATTTCTCTAAAATCTTTCTTTACACAAATTGGCAAGACTTCGACAATTCATAAAATAGCAGTACAATCTTGTTTGGA